TTTTGGAACCTCTTCTGTAGGTGTGGCCTGCTTTCCGGGTCCACTGGTGGAACCTCTTCTAACCGGTTTGGTAGATTTGACAAAGCGGTTCTACCGAATAGGTGCGAACTGGTAGGAACCCACCTCTGCTGTGAGTCCTGACTTCTGTGTAAGAATGGGGGTTAGTCCACATTTTTAAATTGAATTATAAAGTACCGTGTTTCCCTGAAAATAAGACAGGGTCTTCTTTTCTTTTGATGCCCAAAATAAATGCTTGGTCTTATTTTTGGGAGGTCTTATTATTTTTGAGGTGCAGGAGGCTCCCTAACCTTGGCCCGCAGCCCGTGGATCAGCTGGTCCAGAGAGGGTTCTGTCTCTGTTTCTGGCACACTCTTGCCGGCCCTAGTGTCGCTGGTCCTGTCACTCTTTTTGTGGCCACCACTAGGAGAAGGGGCGCAATAGATAGAGTTTGCAGGAGCAGCCCCTTTGAGGCTGTTCCACGTGGATGGCAGATTCACGTGTTCCCCCCTTCCCACCCATGCATTTAAATATTTTAGGGGAAGCCTTATTTTAGCCCATGTGCTCAAAAGCCTGATAGGGCTTATTATCCGGGGAGGTCTTATTTTGGGGGAAACAGGATATTATAAAATACAAAGTAAATAGGAAAGCAGTAGATGGGGTAGGAGAGGAGAAATGAAGAAAGATAAGAAAAAGAAAGAAAAAGAACCACTGACTTCCGACTCTCTCTGTTACAGTAAAATAAGGCATCAACATCAAATCACAACTTTTTTATTTTATTTTTCATAATATTACAAACAAGCAATTTCTATAAAGATCTATCAGTCTCATCGGTAAAACCCAAAGACAGAATTTCATTCTTTTCCACATCGAGCATGAATTGATGTGGGAAAGTGGGTTATAAGGACAGAAGTTAGGATCACCCTTTTCCTTCTTCCTTTGAAAGGAACTGTCTGAGAAAATGCTCTATGGAGACGGGCAGAAACTGGTTGGTGTCCTTTTCAGATAATTTGTACCCTGCCATCAAAGGTGCCACTTACATAGCAGCTATTTGCTGTCGTTGGCAGATCTCTCACACCAATTCATCTAATGCCTGGCTACGTGGCCAATCACTCAGAGCTTTAAAAAAGGAAGGAAGGAAGGAAGGAAGGAGAGAGAGAGAGAGAGAGAGAAAGAAAGAAAGAAAGAAAGAAAGAAAGAAAGAAAGAAAGAAAGAAAGAAA